TTTTCTACACAAGCTAAGTTCCAAAGGTGAATGCACAACAAGGAGTTGCAGTAGACAATTGCACTAAACCCGTAAAGTGGTCCATCACACAGGTCCCGATTTTACATAACACTCATGAAATAGATTACAAAAGGTGACAAAATGCAACACTTGAGGTAAGAAATTGGCAAATTTGGTTCAACCCAATGTTTAAAAAGTTGGACCGGTGGGCTTAACCAGTCACTCACTGGTTCCAAGTAGAAGAGGCAAAGTCGCAAATCAAAAAAAGAAAGAAAAGGAAGCGAAAAAAATGCAAACGAAATTTAAAATGTTTAAAAAAACATTTAGGGATTTCAAATCATTCTAGAATCAATAGTTTGCTAACCAAAAAAATAAAAAAATTAAATATAACTTCTAGGCATGTTAGGCCTAGTTCTGACTCCTGAGTTGGGAATAAAATCGGATCGACTACCTGCCGATTATGGTTCACTTGGGTGTTTCCAAGTCGAATGGCCGATTTTTTTAGCACCGGTTCAACCTGCCACAAAGACCTTTCTAGTAGCCACAAACAATATGGACGGAACAACCTATGTGAGAACAACCATGGTATTTAACTCTTCAACTACTGGAGAACCAGGCAGATGGTTCTACGCATTCAATAAAAATTGATTTCATGGTCAAGGTAAAAATCGAATTCAAGCTCTTGCTATTCAAATCAGATTCAAGACTTCGCAATCTAACAAAACTGAAGTAGTTGCCATCAAAAATGCACCACAACACTTCATCAAACAATGCACAATCACAATCCAAATGAATAACTACCCAGCCTACTTTAATTTGAACAGCAGAAGTCAAAATTTAAAACTCATTAGCTACCCGCTCATCAGCAAATGTTGTTGCTAAGATTCACAAAGTCTGTCTATCAGAGCTTCTAAAGAGTTCAAATGCACAATGATCCTCGAAGCTCATAAAAAAAATACCAAAAGAAACAGGGGCAATACCCAAATCCAGTACTAAGGAGAAAATGCACAATTACCATCACACTCAGATTCAGTAGACCAAAGAAAAATAAAAGAGAGAGAGAGCTGACAATTGAAATCTATATATTCAGAGAAAAAAATAAAGGAATAAAGAATTAAAATGCAACCAATCCAAATCATCTTGGGAACAAAATGAACATATACCTGTAAACCCCGTTGTTAACATTCGGATAAATCAAATCATACCACTCGTTAATCTTCCCATCTAGCTCTGGTGGCGAGAGGTCCAACCCCGAATCACCCACCTCCCCGTCAAACCCCGAATTCAAAAACTCGATAATATCGAAGCTCTCATTGCAAGCAACATCTCTCTTCTTAATATCCCAAAGCATCGGAACAGTGCTCCTTCCATCATAGCCCCCATGTCTAAGACCATACACCTCCTTTAGTGTCTTACACCCATTAGCCTTATCCAAACCAGGAGTATAATCACTTCTATCTCCATTAAAACTCCTAGAACTCTTGAATTCCCATGATCCATTGACACCAGGTGAAGCAATGGAGACTGGTATTGCCTCTTCAAAACCTTTGAGAGCCCTCACAATTAGGGTTCTATGGGCCCAAGGGCAAGCAAGGGCCACATAGAGGTGATACTTTTTGGGGGGCTTTTTTTGGCGGGAGCCAACGGCCAGAGATTTGAATTTGGAGGGGGGCCTTGCGTAGGAGCCTGACGAATCAGATGGCGCCATCTGGCTCATCATGATTTGCCATGCGGAGGTCCAGGCCGAACGGACGGCTGCGATTAGAAGTTGGGGAGGCAGGGAGTTGGACCAGAGGAAAGTGGTTATGGAGCTTAGGAGATTAGGGTTACGATCAGCTCCGCACATTCTAGGGCTGACGTGGCGGTACAAGGGGCGATGCAGGTTTGGGGGGAGATGGGGTGGTTTAAGGAGCCTTTTGGTCTTTTCCGATGACGGTATTGAAAGGCAGGGCCCGAGGGTTAGAGCCATTTTCTTTACGCCGATAATGATGAGAGGAGAGTTTAAAGAGGAAAAATCAGGGGTATAATGGTCATTTTTGCCTTAAAGAAAAATGAAAGGCACCGAACTAGATAAGGGACCTTTCAGGGATTCTCACAAGAGCTTGGGTTTTGTTAATAAAAATGGGTCTCAAGCAAAATTTGAACTCATTTGGAAAAATTCAAGCCACAGAAATTGAGAAAAAAAATGAGGATAAACATCTTTAGTAATTAGTTTGATTTTCCATGATTTTAATTTCCATTTTATTATTTTCGAATGATTTCATTTTCCATTTTATTCTCAATATAAAATTTTATGCAAACAGAGGATTACATCGAACAGTGATTCAACGTCTTTAGGCGCGTCCCCATCCACATTTTGTCCTCTTTCTCTCTCTCGAGGCCAAGATCAAACATGTCCAAAACTTGAAAGCCTTTTTTATCCATATTCACACATCTTAAAGTAAAGATGACCAATTTGAGGAAATTTCAGCATATGAACAACTTTTCTCGATCAATTTTTGAGATATTACTTACATAGTGTAATTGATTAAATAGCCTACCACAATTAGTTAAAAAAAGGGTTTGACGATGATAATGAAACAGTGTTATAGCTAATTAAGATTGACTCCCATCCATTACGTGTTTTGCACCCAGGCAACATAGTGAGAGAGAGAGAGGGGCCGAGAAAAATAGACAAAAATAGAAGAGAGATACCTAGACATACAAATATACATTAAACCAATAGTCATCCCATCTTAGAACTTGTGTATACTATAAATAAACATGTTCCCAATAAGCTAATCAAACTTAGTATAAAACTATGAAGACCAGACACAAATTGAGATATGATGATCAGAAAGAGAGGCAAAAGAAAACCACAAAGAGAAGGAAAACCACAAAAAGAAGGACAAGGCCTTATAATTCAATTTCAACCTAACAAAATGATTTAAAGTTTCAACATTGATCTGCAAAGCCCACTAAAACCAGACCATACAAAAATGAGGAGACTCCACACGGTAAATTCTATTTCAAAACATTTCTATTTCAAAACATTAAAAAGAGCAACAAATCCAACTTCGAACAGATATAACAACTCTCAACAAAAACCAAATTAAAGTCAAATTCTAATGTTTCTGAACTTAGATGATAGTGTTTGCTGCACTGGCAATACGAGGCCATAGATCCGCACACTCCTTCCCAATTGGCCCTGTGATGGCAGATCCTGCAAAAAACCCACAAAACACAAATATTGTTCAAGTTCATGTACTCAGGCCCTCACTCCCTCTCTCACTGTCACACACATAACCACAAATGTATTACCTTTCATTTCTCCTTTCGGATTCACTATGACACCCGCATTATCTGTTGAGAAAAAATGAGGCCCAAGTGTAAGTACTCAAACTAAAGCACAACATGAAAAAATTGAGGTATTCATTGAGTGATCAAGATGTTTATAGGGTTAAAATAGAATTTTTTTCCGAGACCTTTTTAATTCACAATTACTTTTAGTTATAGATAACAAAAATCGGGACAATGCTAGGCACCTTACTCAAAAAGCCAGATCTTAATCTGATGAATTTTACAATAATCACCACAATGTAATAAAATGGGAACATATCAATTGTTTTCTTTGAACTTCTGCTGCCAAAATGCAAGACAGAAACCCCACATATACCATGCTAAAACCTTTAAATTTTCTGAACGGGCCAGCATCGTTCGGTGAAAGACCATAAGTGGGTGAGGTAAATAGATGATTACCAAAAAATCAACTTTCTAGACATCCTTAACCCATTACTCTCTCACATACTAAACCCCAATACTATACTTTCTTGTATTGAACCCCCCAAGTCAAATAATCAACAAACCGAAGACTAATATAATATGCCCTTCTCCTCTCTCCCTCTCTACCCACCTGTCTCTTTCTCTCTCTACCCAACCTCTCTCACTCTCAATACCTCGCCGATTTTCTCTCTTCGGCTTACCTTACAGGCCAGAAAAATAATAGCATGGGTGGTTATCCAGCAAACAAGATCCCTACTCTTGGGGCACAGGCACCGAGCACCATTTCCGACCAACCAGCTGGTTTCCCGACAACAATGTCTCATTTTCCTTCCAAAAATAAGAAGCCCACTGATTTCCAGCCCAAGAGGTCCTGGTTTCCGGCCAAATTCAGAAACCTGCATAGGTTACGGCAAAAAATAGAAACCCCAAGGCAAGAAATAGAAACCCAGTAATTTTTGGGCAACGAATGTTTCCCTTTTCGGGCCAACCTACTGATTTTTATGGCTACTAAGGTCCTGTTTTGCTGGCTTCCCAAGTCTGGTTTTCGGTCATATGTTGCGAACTATCACTGTACCGTTAACCAAGAAATCCATTCTCTGGCCAAAAGTAAGAAAATTGTTGATTTCCCAGAGGCCAAGGTCCCTATTCCAGCCAGAAAATCACATACCCTTCCAGTTGCGTTCCAATGCCCAATGTCGCATTACCATTTTCTTGCTTGAACTACTTGGTCTGTGTTACTTCAGGCGAATATGTTTCACATGTCATTTTATGGAACTCAGATTGGAATTTTACTCTGTGAAGGATCTTGAGCAAAGATGGTGTGGCCATTGACATGCTCGAGGATGATTTTGTTTTTATGTTTTTTTTACTAATTCTGCGTTTCAATTAGAATGGAGGTTCAGTTTTTCCGAGGACTGTGATCCCTTTCCGGCAAACAATCCAAAGAGAATCACCAACGAAGCATCTCTACGCACCCTCTCTCAAACCTCAGGATCTTTGAAATTGGTTGTTGGCCCCCGTAGCCCCATTTAGAGGAAACAAACTGAAACATTTTGTGGTGTTGTTTGCTTCTAATTGAGGACTAGTAATATTCAAGCTCTGAGAATGGGATTATGACAAATCGAGGCCAGAAGACTTTGAGTTAAGCCGCTGTAGTTCTTGATAGAGAAAGGGGATGTACAGTAGCAGAATGCAGAGATATTGATTGTAGTGAGAGGAATTGATGGAAAGTAATGGAGAGAAAGAAAGAGGGTGGGTAGAGAGAGAAAGAGCGTAAGATGATGGGTAGAGAGAGAGGGTGGGTAGAGATAAGGCCAGTAGAGAGAGAAAGAGAGAGAGCGGGTAGAAAGAGTAAGAGAGGAGAAGGGCATTTTAGGATCAATGACTTTTTGACCGGGGGAAGGGGGGGGTAAATATAAGAAAACATTGTATTAGGGTTTAGGGTGTGATCTTAAAAGCATTGGGAGGTAGGATGGGTACAAAGTTGATTTTGGGGGGGTATTTATAATTTTCCCTAGATAATTTTCAGTAAGTGGGAAGTAATATACTACTCTGAGGACAATAGAACAACCACAATCCTCGAGGCTATCACCAACAAAATGATGGAAAATGATTCTCAAAGGATGGAGCCCAGAAATGGGGTCCTGTCTTGTTTTGGCAGTTCCCACTCTCATTCCATCCTACATCATTTCAACGGACATCGATGAGCTCAAGGATCCAAGGAAGTCCATAATCCTTATGCCTATATTATACTTCCCCTTAGTTTCTTCTACAACTCGAGGAGCAACCAAACAAGGGCAGAAAACTTCTTCATAGGACAAATGGGCAAATACCAGGACTCTATGCTGAAGAAAACAAGACAAGTGCGATTTATGTGTAAAAGGGAACCAAAGATTGTCCACCATCATGGTTAATGATAAGAAGTTTCAATAGGTGAAGGAAATTTTAAAAGGAGTCCATAATCATATGTTGAATCAGAAGATGACAATGCCCTGATCTACAAGCAATACAATGAAAAGATAAAAGAAGCACCCATCCCCAAATAAATATGAAAATTTCAAGGATGGCCAAAAATGCTTCCCCAGACGCATCTTGTTTGCTACGTTTCAATACATTTAACTATTAGATTCATGAATTATCATATTTCATAGGAACAACATGGCCAGCCATTTGGCCCTGCTAACAATTTGGTGAGATCCTAATTACACCCTCCAAGGTGCTAATGAACCTATAAATAATGCAATATTTGTGACGAATAGGGAAAAAAAGGCATACCGCTCGTTAGAATATGCAATCTTAAGGATGACAGGATAGGTTTTGCCACTTCTATTTCACACATAAGGTATCCTAAACGAACAACTGTTAGGTTATAGAATGCTTGTTGTTGGTGGGATGAAGTCATTACATTCAAATGATTGAAAAGGTATCACTGTCATTATTGAGAGAAGAAGTAAGATTATATCGAGCTCCAATAAAGCATAGTGCTTTCAACGTCGTTGTTTCAATGGCAATGTTGCGGGAATGAACTTTGTTTCTTTTTGGTTCTCATTAGTCAACAAAATTAGTTTAGTTCCCATGGTTGTGAATAAAAGAAAGCAATTTCATCAAAGAAAATGGTTAAAGCACTGCCATCAAAGAAAATGGTTCTTTACAAGTCATTAGTTAACTACAGAAAAAAGAAAAAAGGAAAGAGAGAGAGAGAGAGAGAAAAAACAAGTATTCAACAAAACATATACAAGGCAGATCACATTTTACAATGTCAACAAGGGTTACACAAAGAAGTCATTATTCTTGCATAGCTTCAAAAAAAAATGTAATCTACAAAAACTAATGAACAGAAATACATAACATGAAGCTTTTCAGGACAAACTTTACAGAAAAATCAAGAAAGATTTACCTTCAAAGTACATAAAAACACCATCCTTTCGGCGCCATGGCTTTCTCTGCCTTACAATAACAGCTGGCATGACCTTTTTCCTGAGATCAGGCTTCCCTTTCTTCACAGTGGCCATCACCATGTCCCCAACACAAGCAGATGGAAGACGGTTGAGCCTGCCCTTGATGCCTTTCACCGAAATTATGTAAAGGTTCTTAGCGCCAGTGTTATCTGCGCAATTTACAGTAGCAGCCACTGGTAAACCCAGTGACATGCGAAACTTGTTCCCAGCTGAACCTCCACGTCCTGTATGTGTGTGTATGTGTGGAATTTGAAAGTTAGATACGATATTGGTAATAAGAAAAGGGAAAATTGGAAAATGGAAAACTAAATTTCATTGTTTGAATGTCTGGAAATCAAGACAATAAATTAAGCATGTTAATATGGGGTTAGTGGATAAATATGGCCAGCCAGAAAATTAGGCTAATGATGTCAGT